CGCCCCATGTGGGGGAACCTCGTCGACGTAGGTGCCTGTGGACTTCCAAAAAGCCATCTCTGCGTCCATGGCTGTCTGCCACTGAGAGGAGTACTCACCCGAAATCGCCTCCCTGTAGGAGCGCGGGGTGGAGATGTCAAGTGCATCCGGGTCTCCCTCAGGGGCAAGCAGCATGGTCGCGTGATGGGGTGAAGCGGCAGAAAGGCACTCCAGCTCCTCCTGTCTGTCCTCAAGAACGTCACAGCCAAGGGCAGTACAGCCAAGAGCAGTCTCACCCCCGACGGACGGAGCAAGCACCTCCAGGGTCAGCACCTCCAGCACCTCCAGCACCAGCAGCAGCTCCAGTACCCCCAGCACCAGCAGCATCTCTAGTACCTCCAGTAGTACCTCCAACACCTCCAGCACCAGCAGCACCTCCTGGACTAGTAGCTCCAGCACCAGCCGGACCGTACCCTCCACCACCAGGACTACCTCTCCGAACGACCCACGCACGAATCGCCTGCGGCGAGAGCGTCTCAAGTAGAGCAGGGTGCGATAGCTGTCCAGCTCCAGTACCTCCAGTAGTGGTAGCTCTAGCACCTCCAGCACCAGAAGCACCTCTAGTACCCCTAGCTCCAGCACCTCCAGCACCAGCAGCAGCTCCAGTACCTCCAGTAGTACCTCCAGGCCTAGTAGCTCCAGTACCTCCAGCTCCAGGACCTCCAGAAGGACTCGCAGCACCCCCAGAGTCAGCACCCGAAGTCTCAGCACCCCAGAGTCAGCACCCAAAGTCTCAGTACCCCCAGGCTCAGTACCCTCAGGCTCAGTACCCTCAGTCCCAGCACCCGCAGGCTCATTGCCCTCAGTCCCAGCACCCGCAGGCTCAGTACTCTCAGTCCCAGCACCCGCAGGCTTAGTACGCTCAGTCCCAGCACCCGCAGGCTCAGTACGCTCAGTCTCAGCTCCAGTGTCCACTGCAGAAGGCTGCAGAGGCGGGAAACCGGGGGGGGTAGCCAAACGAGGAGAGAAGTCTCCCCCAGACGTACCACTCCCAGGCCCAGCTCCAGCAGCCTCAGCTCCAGAGTCCACAGCAGCAGGCTGCGGAGGTGGCGAAGACGGCCGAGGCGGGAAACCCGGGGGGGTCTCCAAGCGAGGAGTGTGGCGAGTGGTCGCCGTGTCGTCGGCGACGGCATCACCCCCCTCAGCTGAGTCAGAGGAGTCAGAAGAGATCTCAACTGGCTCATCCAAGGGGGGTGGGTCTACCTGGGACACACTTGAGGGAGCAGGACCCTGTGGGGGAAGGGGGTCTACCGGGGGGGGGACTGGTACCAGGAAGAGAGGCGCGAGGGGGACCGGGTGGGACGCGTGTGGGTGAAGTCGGTAGTAACAGACCAACTCGTCGAAGGTGACGTCCTGAGAGGACAGAACACGACGCGAGGCAGGGTGGTAGAACTGCCAGGGTGGAGCGTCGGTGGGGAAGCCAAGGAAGACACAGCGGAGAGTGCGAGGAGAGAGCTTGCTCGCTTTGGTATCGCGAACAAGGGAGAGCGCGCCCCAGACCCGAAACGACGACGCATCACCAGGCTGTCCCGTCCAACGGAGTGTGGGCGAGGTCTCTGGAGCAGAGACACAGGGCCAGAGGTTGAGCTGATGCGCGGCGTATCGGACCGCAAACGGCCACAGGAAATGGGGAGCAGCCGCATGGATCATGGAGGTACGAGCAACCTCCATGATCAAGCCAATGTGACGCTCAGCGATCCCATTTTGCTGCGGAGTGGCCGGGAGCGTGAACGACTGGGCGATGCCCTCATCCTGGCAGAACGTCTCAAGGATGCTAGAGGAGAACTCACCACCCCTGTCAGAGTGCAGACGCAGGACTGGGAAGTCCTGCTGAAAGCGCTCGTGCAGCTGGAGACGAGTAGCCGGATCCAGGGGATCAAAACACCGCTGACGTCCGCCTTGCGACGCAAGGGGAAGACTGTGGTGTAGCGTGTGTAGTCGTCAACAACCAGCAGGAAGTAGCTCTCGAGGTCCGTCCCACCGACTGGGGCCGGGCCCCACACGTCCAGGTGGAGAGTCTGCAGAGGAGCAGTGGTCGGAGGAAACTCGGAGGAGTGAGGAGCGGCGCGCTGCCGCCCCTCGACGCAAGGAAGGCACGGCGGCGCAAGTGAGCGCGGGAGGGGGGGCAGGGTCCTGGGGAGGCCAGAGACAAGGAGACGGGAGTGCATACTGCGTAGACGCTGCAGGGAGGGGTGACCAAGACGGTGGTGCCAGCGCTGAGTCTCGTGCGTGAGTACTCTGCACGAGCAAGACGCAGCTAACTGCCCCGACGCAGACGCCCGACTCGACGCAGCCACCTGACCTGACTCAGCCACCTGTGCAGACGCAGTGGTCAGTGTGTATAGACTAGACCCAGGCTGTCGAGTGAACGTAGCCAGGTGACGGCCAGTCCGGGAGCACGTACAGATCGCCACACGCTGCCCTCCAGGAATAAAGGTATCAACCCAGACATCCTGAATGGCAGCGTTGCTCACCAAGTTCGTCGAGAACGTGGGGAGGTGGAGACCTGACAGAGAGCCGGAGGGGACTGCTGGACAAGGGAGGACCGTGGAGGCTCTCGCAACTACTGGGCCCCCAGAGGGGTCAGCCAGTGAGACTGGGACAGGTGCTGTGAGTGGTGTGACTGTGGTGCAATCACGAAAGAAGCAACGTGACGCGCCTGAGTCAAGCGTGAAAGTGTGCAAGACCTCAGCTGAGGCAGGACCTGTGGTAGGAGACGCACTAGCACCTAGAGCGTCGGCAGACTCACGGGCACCTAGAGCTGCAGCAGACTCACTAGCACCTGGAGCGGCAGCAGACTCACTAGCACCTGGAGTAGCAGCAGACTCACTAGCACCAAGAGCAGCAGTCTTAACAAAACGATAACCTCCACCACCAGGACGACCTCGCTTAATAACCCACTCACGAAGATGCTGAGGGGTGGGGTTGTCCGGGAGAAGCAGTGCCCGCTGCTGTCCACCCCTGACCGCAGCAACTGCCGCGGAAGTGGCCATGACAGACAGTGACGGTCAGGAGTAGGTCCAGCACCTCTAGCTCCTACAGCACCAGCAGCACCTCCTGCACTCCCAGCAGCACCTCCACCACTCCCAGTAGCACAAGTAGCAGCAGCAGCAGTAAGAGCAGCAGGGCGGCGCGCGGCCAGAGCAGGGCGGCGTGTAGCCAGAGCAGGGCTGCGCGCGGCCAAAGTAGGGCAGTAGTAGGCAGTAGCTCCTAGGGCAGAAGCGCGATTTTTTTTTTTCTTAATAAACAATTTAATTATATTTAGGGTATAGCAGGGCGCTGGCGCAGGGCAGGGCGCTGGCGCAGGGCAGGGCGCGGGCGCAGGGCAGGGCGCGGGCGCAGGGCAGGGCGCTGGCGCAGGCTGCAGCAGTGCGTGACGCGAGGGGCAGCAGAGCGCGACGCGACGGGCTGCCTTAGGGCGCGACGCGCGGGCTGCAGCAGAGCGCGACGCGCGAGGCAGCAGCGCGCGACTCGTGGGCTGCGTTAGGGCGCGGGCTGCAGGGGCAGGACGCACAGGCTCCAGGGGCGGTGTGCGGGCTCCAGGGGTGACGCGCGGGCTGCAGGGGCCGCGCGGACGGGCTGCAGAGGCGACGCGCGGCTCAGCAGGTCCGCGCGCGAGCTGTAGGGGCGGCGCGAACGGGCCGCAGAGGCGGCGCGCGGGCTCCAGGGGCGACGCGCGGGCTGCAGGGGCCGCGCGGACGGGCTGCAGAGGCGACGCGCGGCTCGGTAGGTCTGCGCGCGGGCTGCAGGGGCAGCGTGAACGGGCTGCAGGGGCAGCGTGAACGGGTTGCAGGGGCAGCGTGAACGGGCTGCAGGGGCAGCGTGAACGGGCTGCAGGGGCAGCGTGAACGGGCTGCAGGGGCAGCGTGAACGGGCTGCAGGGGCAGCGTGAACGGGCTGCAGGGGCAGCGTGAACGGGCTGCAGGGGCAGCGTGAACGGGCTGCAGGGGCGACGTACGGGCTGCAGGAGCGACGTACGGGCTGCAGGGGCAGCGCGCGGGCCACAGGGGCAGGCGCGGCTGCAGGGGCAGCGCGGTAGCAGGGGCGAGCACGGCTGCAGGGGCAGCACGGTCGTAGGGGCGAGCACGGCTGCAGGGGCAGCGCGGTCGCAGGGGCAGCGCACGGGCTGCAAGGGTCGCGACAGTGAGAGCTAGGGGCGCCAGCGTGCTGGCTACTGTGTAGGGCGTGGCGTTACCACTAGGCGGAACGGTGGGCCCATGTAGGAATGGTTCCTACTCTGATAACATGTCAAGAATAGAACTAGGAATGAATGAGTGAACTAGGCAAGAGGTGAGTACAAGTAGGGGAAACCTAACCCTAAAGTGTTTTACTCACTAAGGAGTGACCCTACTGTAGCCTAGAGATACAATTGTAATATGACATTGAGTTCTCTGCTTGCTTTGTTTGTACGCTTTATATATACCTCTGTGAACTCTTGAACTGGCCTTGTGACTCTTTTGCTTGTGCTCGGAGTGTGTGGTGACGTTGTGATCCACCCTGAGCTTTGTTTCTTTGTGACTGGTCTTGTGACCGTACACTTTTGGTTTTGCTTGACACCCCTCACTTAGACTATGGGGGTGTGTCAAATGTTGTAGTCTTAGTGATGTGTGTTATACGAGGTACAACTGTTAGGGTTAGGTTTATGTACCCCAACCAACCTTAGTCAAACCAACACTTTCATTCTTGACACCTAGGCCAAGGATGTGTTGAGAGAGTTGTGCCCAAGGAGAAGTGAGAATGGGTGGTTTGACTATAGCACAGCAAGTACATATAGCAAAACACAAAGAGAGAGGGGTGGTACACCACCACCTATAAGAGGTACAAATACTACAGTAACTACAGCAAGCAGGTTACACATCAAATATAGCTTTGACACTATCAGGGGAGTATTCCAGCACTGCACATAACCGATGCCTTATTGCCACGAGTCTTAGAAGAGTCACAAACTTGATTGTACCATACTACAGTGCCTCTTTGATACCAAACACCTTGCCAAGCGCCCTGGCCTTATCCATCTCTTCCATCTGCACCAGCATGCGCTTCAACCTCCTCGCCAGCCCCACACACTCCTCCCTCTGCCCCTCCACTGCACTCCGACTCTCTACAGACCGCCCCAGCGTTTCGATGTAAGCCACCAGTTGTGATAGAGGAGACTTGGGACTGCAAGGTTTTCGGGTTTGAGTTTCGAGTAAAAATAGCACAAGGCACAACCATGAACCGGGACTAGAAATAATTGAGAGCATGAGGTGAGAGGTGAGAGGTGAGAGCATGAGGTGAGAGGTGAGAGCATGAGGTGATAGCTGAGAGCGTGAGGTGAGAGGTGAGAGCACCTAACAGTGGGAAGAGTATGCATCAGCATCACTCACACGCACATTAAGATGACAATGCAGAGAAACATTCTTGAAAATCAAAGGAACCAACTACGTAGGTTCTTTCACCTGTTTCTCGGTCTGGTTTAGGGAGGAAAGGCATTACTGCTGCCAGAACTTTGCAGTCATGCAGCACACAAACAAGTCCCACTATATGGAGTACAATGTTGAGAGGCACAACTCGAACAGCCAGCTCACCTGTTCCTGGGTTCTGCCGAGGGAGGCAAGGCACTGCCGCTGCCCGTGCCGGCCCACTTGCCGTCACACAGCACACAAACGAGCCGCTCTGTACGGGGTACAGCGTCGTGCAGCGCAGGGGCGAGGGCGCGCAGATGTGGCAGCAGCTGATTGGCCAGGATGGACTGCAGCACGAGGCTGTCTAGAAGCGACTGGGACACCACCTCTCGCATCCTGGTGTGACATGAATGGGAGCAGTGGGGGATAGTTGGATGGTGGCAGAAAAACCACCAGTGTAAGGATGTGGCAGCAGCTGATTGGCCAGGAGAGACTGCAGCACGAGCCTATCTAGGAATGGCTGAGACACCACGTCTTGCAGCCTGGTGACGTGGCAGGGAGAGTGGGGGGGAGCGGGGGGTGGAAGGGAGGAGGGGAGAGTCCAGGCGGGAGGCGGGTGGAAGGGAGGAGGGGAGAGGGGAGATGGTTGGTGTGTTTCTTGAGGAACAATCCTTCCCACCCTCGAAGCAGCAAAGAATCAATGGAGCAAAGCAGCGAGTGCAGCATGAGGCATTCTAGGACCTCGTATACGACCATATGGAGGTGCCTTTTGAGGTGCCTCAAAAGACAGCACCTCGTATACGACCATATGGAGATGCCTTTTGAGGCGCCTCAAAAGACAGCACCTCGTATACGACCATATGGAGGTGCCTTTTGAGGCGCCTCAAAAGACAGCACCTCGTATACGACCATATGGAGGTGCCTTTTGAGGCGCCTCAAAAGACAGCACCTCATATACGACCATATGGAGGTGCCTTTTGAGGCGCCTCAAAAGACAGCACCTCGTATACGACCATATGGAGGTGCCTTTTGAGGCGCCTCAAAAGACAGCACCTCGTATACGACCATATGGAGGTGCCTCGGAACACATTTACCCTCCGAGATGATGCACCAAGGGCCTTACTGCAGCCATCTCCTCTCCTGATACCTGCAACCCTGAACCTTGCAACGAGGTGACTTTTGAGTCGACTCAGAAGACTTTGAGTCGACTTAAAAGCATCCATCTCCTACTACCTACAACCCTGAACCTTGCACGCACCTAGGGAGTGAACCCACCTGCCCAGGTTGTGAATGAGGCGCAGCGCCTGTCCGAATCTCTGCGCCGCGAATCGAGCAGCAGCGGGGTATGAAGCGAGCACAGGGGGCGGCCATGCTGGTAGCTGCGAGCAACAGCAAGGGAGGGCGGGGGAGGGCAAGACGAAAGGCAAGACATGGGTGAGTGATTGGCATGAGGCGGACCTCCTTCCCTCCCAGTCCATGGCCCACTGTGATCCTTGTAACCTGCACTGCACTGCACTGCACTGCACCACTGGGCAAGGTGTTTGGCATCGTTTTCCAAGCCCCACTCCACATGAAATGCAACCACCGCCAGAGCCTCCCTCCTCCTCAGCAGGCAAACATACACATACACCCCTCCCTCCCAGTGATTGTCATGCCCCACCCACCCATCACCTCACCTGCATTTCTGCTATGGCCCCTTCCATGCGTCCCTCCACCGCTTTCACCATCTCCACCACGGCAGGCGCCCCCGCCTCCTCAGCTGCAATGCAACCCCTTCTGCCCCACTGTTTGCCATGCCCCACCCAACCCGTCACTCACCTGCATTTCTGCAACGGCCCCTTCCATCCGCCCCTCCACCGCTTTCATCATCTCCACCACAGCAGGGGCCCCTGCCTCCACATACACAAGCACCTCCTCCACACCACGGCCACATGTGGATTGTGAGAAGCCCGCCAACCCCAACTCACCTGCATCTCTGCAACCGCCCCCTCAATCCGCCCCTCCAGGGCCTTCATCATCTCCACCACCGCAGGAGCCCCCGCCTCCACATACACCAGCACCTCCTCGACAGCTGTCGCCGCGCGATTGGTCGCGGCGCGGTCCAGCGGGTCCCAGCAGTGCTGCAGGGCGTGGTGCAGGATCGGCAGCCCCACCTTCTCTACGAGCCTCGGCACCAGGTTCGTGTCCGGGTCGTCCGGGGCAGGCTCGGAGCCGTCGGTTGGGAGGCCGTAGTCAAAGAGGACCGAGTACCTGGTGGGGGGGGTGGGGGTGAAGGAGGGTGATTCGGAGGGGTTGGGTGGGACCGTTCGAAACGTTTCAATCTATGAACTCGGGAGCTCGTAATCAAAGAGGACTGACACTGACTGACTGACTGAATCACTGACTGACTGAATCACTGACTCACTGACTCACTGACTCACTGACTCACTGACTCACTGACTGACTCGCTCACTCCTTCACTCACCCACTCACTCCCTCAGTCACTCACCAGTGCATGGAGTCAAAGGCACCTCCCCCAAAGAGGGGGTCCCATCGGAGCAGCTCCAGGCGCACAAAGGGAGCAAAGAGGGCCGGCGCTGACATGCTGGCATAGGCATCCCGGTAGGCCGCGGGGTGCTGCTGCTTCCACCGCTCCATGCGCTCCTTCACGCGCTCTATCCTGCTGTACTCCTCCGCTGCATCCGCAAACACCGCATCTGGGGGAAAGCAGCAGGGGACAGGGAGGGACGGGGTGGGTGGGTGGGCGGGATCAAATGCTGGTAGGCCAACGGGTCTAAGGTTGTGGTGCTTCCACCGCTCCATGCGCTCCTTCACGCGCTCTATCCTGCTGTACTCCTCCGCTGCATCCGCAAACACCGCATCTGCAGGCGGGCAGAAGGGTTTGAGGAGGTTGGAGTGGGAGGAATTGGCTTGCTTGCTGGTAGGTCAAGGGGTTTAGGATTGTGTTGCTTCCATGCGCTCCTTCACTCGCTCTATCCGGCTGTACTCCTCTGCTGCATCAGCAAACACAGCATCTGGAGGGAAACAAAAGGGATTGACAAGGGGCGGAGAGGGTGGGATTGGCTTGGTGGTAGGCGGAGGGGTGGTGCTGCTTCCACTGCTCCATGCGCTCCTTCACTCGCTCTATCCTGCTGTACTCCTCCGCTGCATCCGCAAACACCGCATCTGCAGGCGAGCAGCAGGGGTTGACAAGGGGCGGAGAGGGTGGGATTGGCTTGATGGTAGGCCAAGGGGTAGGCGGAGGGATGCTGCTGCTTCCACCGCTCCATGCGCTACCTCACTCGCTCTATCCTGCTGTACTCCTCTGCTGCATCCGCAAACACCGCATCTGGGGGGAAGCAGCAGGGGTTGACAAGGGGTGAAGAGGATGGTATGGGAATGCGGGTGGGAGCAGGAGGGGTGGTGCTGCTTCCAGCGCTCCATGCGCTCCTTCACGCGCTCTATCCTGCTGTACTCCTCTGCTGCAACCGCAAACACCGCATCTGGAGGAAAGAGGTAGAGGATAGGGCGGGACGGAGAGGTTGGTATGGCCGTGCTGGTAGGTGGAGCTGCGGGGTAGGCCCAGGGGTAGCTGGAGGTGTGGTGCTGCTTCCACCGCTCCATGCGCCCCCCCACTCGCTCTATCCTGCTGCACCGCACCACACAGCACATCACAGCTGTCACATCATCACGTCTGGAACAACTTGGCAACAACGTTTTTGGAAATTATACAAAACCCCAAAAAGTACTTTTGAGACGTCCCAAAAAGCTAAGTTGGATATTACGCTTATGTTTACGTACGTTTTACGTTTACGTTTACGTACGTTTTACGTTACGCACGAGGTGCTGGAATGAGTTTACGTTTGCGGGCAGATTTTTTTCCTTCAGCTGCCCGGCTGAAGTAAAATTTCAAGGGGATTCGAAAATGGCAATATCAAATATATAACATAAATTTTATAAACACAAAAAATGTTTGTGATGCGTGTTCCTTTTCACGAGCGAGGTGTACAAACCAGCTCGCACCTTGTCCCAATTTCACTCGATATCGCATAAGTCAATGCGTTCCCCCAATACGTTACTCCGAATCAGTCCCCGCTTACCCTCCCAGTCCCACGACGTATGCGGGCTCAGAAAGCTGCGCCCAATGCTAGAGCCTTTAGATTGACGACCTAATGCAACTTCGTAGATCTACCATGCAGAGCTAAGATCTTAGAACCCCTAATCTACCATTTTTAGTTACGACCTAAGTTAAGATCTAACATCTCGCCAGGCTGTATCCGCTGGACCGCTGCCCTGAACGGTTCCGCAGCGACATTCCGCGAAAATGAAAGACCAAATGAACGATTCTGCCTTTTTTTTTCCACCGAATTTTTTTACCTGCCCGGACCAAAGTTACGCGTATTTACGCGTACGTAAACGTAAACGTAATGTTACGCGTAACATTACGTTTACGTAGTGCCAGGGACGTACGGACCCATCTTAGCCAAAAAGTACGAGAGAAGAGGCTCACCAGCAGCGGTGAGTATCTCCTGTCTGCCAGAGCTGTACGCACTCCTCTCATCCTCACTCTCCTCACTGCTCCACTCCCCCTCCACCCTCGCCACTCCCCCTCCTCCACCCCCTCCACCCCCTTCACCCCGCCCAGCCCTCCTGGCTTCAGCCTTGGCGTGCCGCCGCTCCCTCGCTGCCACTCTCCTCTGGAACTCCAGCCTGCACATGCCGTGGAATGACGGGGTTCAGGGTTTCAAGGAGATGGGGTTTGAGGGTTGGAAGGAAGAAGTTCGAAACTTAACAGAGTTTAGGATACGTGCAAGGGGCTGAGCAACGAGGGATGGGGAAGTGGGAATGGCAGCAGGGGGATAGGGATTCAGCGAATCGAACAGGTTAGGCTGTTACTTACTGTCTAGACGACCATTAACTCATCTGCACAAAAGAAACAGCCACATCCATACTCCACCAGTAGCATACGTAACCAATACATCCCCTCTTCTGAACTATAAATCTCTACAAACTCAGAAGGTCACGTCACGTCCCATCCAAACTCATCCAGTTCCGAACCCTGTTCTGACCATTTGCACCCCTGCGCTGCACCCTCACCACTCCACCCCTGTCGTCTCTTCACCACTCCCCTCGCCTATCCACATCTATACACTACCACCCGCACCTACCGCAACCCACAGAGCCCTCACCTGCCCACAGAGCCCTCACCATTTCTGCAGATTCACATCTCGCCCAAACTCATCCAGTTCCACCCGCCCTCCCAAACCTACGTACACACCTACCCACGCCTACCCACCACACCGCTACACTGCAATCTCAGCCACTCCTACCGCAACCCACCGAGCCTCACCGCTTCTGCAGGTTCACATCTCTTCCAAACTCATCAAGTTCCACTCGCCCTCCCACCGCCCCTCCCCCTTCCACCACCGCCTCCGCCGCTGCTGCCGCCGCTGCAGCTGCCGTAACCGTCCCCGCCCCCTGCGCCATCGCTGCTGCCGCCGCTGACGTGGCAGCCTCCGCTTGCGCCAGCTCATCTGCCAGGTCAGCGCGGCGCCGCTCGAACGCTGCGTTGGCACGCTCCTCCTGCAGCTGCTGCAGCGACTCCTCGAGCTCCTCAATCAGCGCCGCCTTGTCCTGACGTGAGACAGGGGGGAGGGGAGACAGGGGGGCGTTTGGTGTCTCAGTTAAGAGGGTGGCGCATTCAAGCAGCTGCTGCAGGGACTCCTCGAGCTCCTCTATCAACGCCGCCTTGTCCTGATGAGAGAGGGGGGGGAGGAACGATAGTGGAAATAGTCCATACACGGCTCGAGAGGCGTATATCTAAGGACGTGACATGTCAATCCTGCGGCAGCTGCTGCTGCAGTGACTCTTCCAGCTCCTCTTTCGCGTTGCCCTGATGTGACAAGCGAGACCGAGACGGCCCTGATATGACAAGGGAGACGGGGAGGAGGAGGGCTTTCGAGGGAGTGCATTCAAGGACTAACCTACTTATCTCCTTACTGCTGCCCCGCAGTGCCCTCGAAACTCACAGTCGCAGGAGTCATAAAGCACGACGACGTGCTACGGCATGCCCTGCACGAAGCTGCTCTCACAGCTGTCAGAAGCCACCAGGAGCCAACCTCACCTTGAGGAAGTCACAGAGCACGGCCACGTATTGCCGCAGGTCCTGCACGAAGCGGTATTTGCCCTCAGCGCCCTTCATCGCCCTCTCCAGCTCCAACACCTCGTCCGCTGCCGCCACCAGCCGATCCTCCGCCTCCCGAGCCTCCCGCTCAGCCTTGGACTGCGAGGCCTGGGGACACAGGGAAGGGGTGGCGTGGAGTGGTGTGGGAATGGTGTGGGGAGAGGTGCGGGTGATGGACAGTGGTGAATGGTGAAGGACGGTATGAAGTGGTGGAGAGAGAGTGGTCCTTGGTGGCATGGAGCTGTTGAGAGTGTGGTGCAGCATGGTGTAGAGTGGTGGAGAGTGAGGTTTAGGGTGCACAGGAGTAGTATGCAGCAGGTTGATAGGCAACTGTTTGAATCACACTCGTTTGAATCCCATCCATTGAGGGAATTTCAGTCCCATTCGTCAAGTGCACACACCTGCAGTCTCGCAAGGCCCTCTCTCAGGAACTTCATCACTTCATCCCCTTCCGTCATGATCAAATTATCAGCCCTGCCCCACCCATCCCCCCTACGGTCAACCACAGTCGTTAAGAGCACACACCTGCAGTCTCGCAAGGCCTTCTCTCAGGAACTTCATCACTTCATCCCCTTCCGCCACTATCGACCCTGCACCTCCCATCCCCCCTACGCCCCCTCCTGCCCCCCCATACCCCCACGCGCCTGCCCTCATCCCCCCTGAAAACACCTCGCTTGCACTCCGCCCTCCTTCCTCTCCCCCTCCCCCCATCGCCCCCACACCGCCCCCTTTCTCCCCCCCTGTTTTCGCCCCCATTCCCCCGTCCTTTCCCCCTGTGGCTCCTGGCACAGACGCCATTCGACCCACTCCCTTGCGCAACTGCTCTTCTTCCCACGCCCTCTCCTCCTCATCCTCCTCTGCAGCTTTCTCCCTCTCCTCCTCCTCCACTTCCTCCTCCTCCCCCATCCCCCCCCCTCTCCGCCGCTCCCCGTTCACCTCTCCACTCCCTCCCCTCCCCTTCCCTCCCCTCCCCCGCCCACTCCCCCGATCTCCCCCCAACACCCCCCCAAGCGCCACTCTCCCCCCCAACGCCTCCTCCTCATCCTCGCTCGACTGCTCCCCCTTCCCCTTCTCCCCCTCCTCTTCCCCCATTTCGTCTTCCACCCCCCTCATACTCCCTAGCCCGGCCATATCAGATCTATCAGACCCTGGAAGGGGGATAAAATCTGGTGCTGCTTTAGCCTGTCTTAGTCTCTCTCTCTTTGCCTTTGCCGCTGCTATAGCAGCAGCGTCTGGGATAAAAGTTCCACCAATATAACTACCCCCTGCCTTTCTTAAGCTTGTTCCTAGGCCTCCTCCCATTCCTCCCAATCCTCCCATTCCTGCTGCCGCGCCTGCCGAACCTGCTGCACCCGAACCACTAGCTCCGGCCTCTGCTTCGGCGGCTGCCGAGCCTGCGGGTTTGAGTGATCCCCGAAGCACGATGAGAGGTTCGGAGAGGGAGGGCGGGGTGACTGTGGAGGAGGGGGGCGCGGAGGCGGAGAGGGCTGCGCCTGCTGCAGCAACGGAGGCGGAAGGGGGAGGGGGGGTGCGCCTGGAGGCGGAAGAAGGCGCTGCAATGCGCATGGTGTTGCGCTGGGGGCAGGGGTGGCCGGGGGAAGGCGGGGGAGGTGGAGGGGGGGAGAGAACGGGAAGGTGGGAGGGGAGGGAGCACCCAGAACACAGTGGGGCAGTGAGAGGAGTGGGAAGGAGATGGTGGGAAGAAGACAGGGGAGGGGCAAGGAGGTGCAATGCGGGATTGCCCCAATGAGACGACAGAAGTGAACCGAGGGTCAATGGCGACTCATGCATGCAGCCACTCATGCAATAAACCAAAGGGTTCTTGAAGCGCATCACTGGACGAGGGGGAGAGAGGGGGGAGAGCGGGGAGAAGGGGGGAGAGGAGAGGGGGAGGGGAGGAGTGTGCATACCGCCAGCTCAGCAAGTTTCTCCTTGGTGTACTCCCCCGATTGCGGGAGGGGGGAGGGGGGGTTATGTGTGAATATGAGGAAGGGGGGGGATAATACATACCGCCAGTTCCGCGAGTTTCTCCTTGGTGTACTCCCCCGATTGAAGAGGGACAAAAAGGGGGCGGGGGGAGAGGGGGAAGGGGAAGGGGGTAAGTGGGAGTAGGTGAGGGGAGGGGTGTGCATACCGCCAGCTCAGCGAGTTTCTCTTTGGTGTACTCCCCCGATTGCGGCACCACGTTCAGCGCGCCGCCAGCGGACGGCCCGCCCACCACCACTCCGCCGCCTCCCTTGCCGCCCTCCCTCTTCTCCTCCCGCCCTTTCCGCTCCTCCCGGCCCTTCTTATCCCTGTTCACCCTATGCCCCTCCCCATGCCCCGTACCGAACCCCGCCGATCTGGATTTCGACTTGGATTCTTTCGAACTAGGTTTTGATCTCCCCCCCACGGCGATCGCCATGCCGAACGGCCCGCCGTCGTCGCCCTCTCCCTCCTCGTCGGCTGCGAAGCTCAGCAGGCTCGACGGTGTCGCCTTAGTCGTAGCCGTAGGCGCCTTAGGTTTGTTACTGGTCTTTAAAGCGGCGGCTTTTGCAGCCGGCGCGGGTTTCGCGACGGTCGTCCCGCCGTTTCTCGCATCGCCTTCGCCCCCGCCGCCGCCGCCGTCGCCGCCGCCGTCGTCGTCCTGCCTGCGACGGAAGTTCTTCTTTTTAAACATCGCACAGACACTGATCGGAACCCGCTGGCTTGTTTTCTGACGAGGCTAAAGGCCTGTAACGCAAACCATCTACAATATTCTCAGAATACCCATTGTCACGATACGAGTAATCGACGTAATGCTGATCAACGATTCGCTCGGCGCTTTTCCAGTCGACACAAAATTCAATTCGCTCGCTGCCACGTGTCGCTGTAATTGAGTATCGCTGCTGCCCGAATGAGTCACGGGATTATCGATCTACGGCGAACTACTCGCGTGGCTGGTCGAAACTAACGCGGGCTGTCGTATGAACGCGACTGGATTTATAATCTGCGACTTATTTCGACCTGATTCGCAATATCTGGGTGGACGAAGCAGATTAGAAACTCAATATCCGCGTTTAAAACATGAACCAATGAAGCTCGGTAAGACATCATAGACCTCTTCTAAGGGTACATTCGAGTGTAGTAAAAAATGTCAAAACTTTTAGCTTTTAGTTCTTTTTTCATTATTTCTGTGTGATTGTGCTATTATTTTTTCAATATGATTGGATAGATTTAATCTCGAAGATGAGCAAAATATGCTATACATGTTAATGTACACGTGTGGACTGACGTCTAAATGCGGCGAATCTTGGTGGCGGGCTGCCCGTGTGCCAACCCGCTCCTCTCCCTTGTGCTGCGCGGCTGCAGATTGCAAGTGGTTTTGAAGCGAGTAGGTGAGAGGGGGTTTTGGTCAAGGAGGATAAACATGAGGAAAATTGGGATAAATGTGATGGCATAGGACGGACGGAGGATAGGGTAAACATGATGGGGACGGTTAAAAGGAGGATAAACATGACGGCATGGGGATGGAGGAAAGGAGGATGACACATGTGATGGCATCATGATGTGGCATTGCATGCACAATCCATAGCATACATGACATATAGAACATGCACGGTCCACATGAACACATGCAGTGGGTTCGACGGGGCCACATACCTGAGAGGGAGGGTGAAAATGGTGCTGCTGCTGCATCTGTCCCTGCGAAACCTGCTGTTGGTTGTGCTGCTGCTGGCTGGGATGCGGCTGATTGTGCTGTTGCTGCTGCCCTTGATACCCCTGCTGCCCCTGCTGACTCCCCCCTGCCCCTTGCCCCCCACCCCTGCTCCCCACGCCACTGCCCACGGCACCTGCACTCCCCTCCCCTCCCCCGCCCCCTCCTCCTGACCCTGACCGATGCAGCAGAGTGACATTCGCCATGCGCTGCCCAGGGGCTGATGGCTGTTGGGGGGAGGGGTGGGGGATTGGAGGTGGGAATGGGGTAGGGGAAATGGAAACCAAATGAGGACTTGGTTGGTGCTGACTGGTGCAGCAGAGTGACGTTGGCCATGCGCTGCCCTGGCGCTGATGGCTGGTGGGGGGACGGGTGGGGTATGGGGGATGGGGGATGCGCGATTGGGCAACGAGAGAATGGAGGAACGGGGGAATGGGCAGCACACAGTCATGGCGTGCCTGAACCCGACCGGTGCAGCAGAGTGACGTTGGCCATGCGCTGCCCTGGCGCTGATGGCTGGTGGGGGGACGGGTGGGGCATGGGAGGTGGAGAATGGGGCATGGGTGGTATGGGGCATGGATGGTATGGGGCATGGATGGTATGGGGGATGTATGGTATGGGGAGGTATGGGGCATGGATGGTATCGGGCATGGATGCATGGATGGTATGGGGCATGGCGACATAGTGGCATGAAAACGAGCCCAACCCTTCATGCATACCCACACTCGCGCCCATGCACGCCTATGCACGCACACCTATGCACAACCATGCACACCCATCCACCTATATTGGAATATACGCGACTGGAACTATACGCCCACGTACGAATGTGAGACGGGGGATTTCCGCCCCACGATACGCTCAAAATACGGTCGCCCGGGCAGGGGAAAAATGTTTCGGGCAGGGGAAAAAAAGTATCAGGGGGTGAGTCATGACGCCTATGTTCAGTGTGACTTTGCCATGGTGTTTTTTTTCCCACTTATGATTTTGTTTTCCCTATTACAAACATGCATTGCAAGTACACACATACAAGCAACTACTTGTCTGATACCTCCCCAAACTCCCCTACTCCCCAAACCTTCATCTCCTTCTCCTCCTCCTCTACTCCTCATGCTCGTCGCCTCGTCAACCACTTACCCTGCTGCTGCCTTTCTTATTCCACGTACTCATCGGCCAGCACGGCTTCATCCCCCTCCACCTCCTCCTCCTCCTCCTCCTCCTCCCCTTCCTCCTCCTCCTTGTATCCCTCCGGCAGAGCGGGTTCAGGGATGGTGCCCGGAAGCACCGCCAGTGACTCAGCCCTCTTGTGGTACTTGTGGACCACATGCCAGTTGTGGGCCACATAAACTAGGTCCCGGAGTTTCTCCGAGCCTAGCTTGTTGCGGCGGGCAGTGTGCACCGACTCCCACGTTGCCCACCCGCGCTCACACGGCGAGGCTGACACCGGCTGTGTCAGGGCACGGCACGCAAGGCTGGCCAGGTGGGGGTGGTCAGTCCCGTGCCATCCCCACCACTGCACCATCGAGTGCTTGCCTGCCTTCACGGCCTCCCTGTCGGCAATTGCCTCAGGGTTGCCGAAGGATCCTTCAAGGGTGAGGAAGGCCGTGAGCCCCTCTTGCAAAACAAGAGAGGCCCGCTTCTCCTCACCGTCTTTGTTGGTGCCGTCGTAGTGACGTGCGATGAACGCCTTGAAGATGCGGGTACATTCCACATCGTTGCAGAATATACCCTCTTCCTGATTTGCCGGGTTCAGGATCCGGCCAACGACGTGAAGAGCGAAAGCGAGGGTCTCGTCCCAACGGCGCCTAACAATCCTCCCTATCTCAGCCGCATCCGCCCGCGTCAGAATCTTCTCCCCCGCCTCCAGCTTGGTGTTCATGTCCTCGGTCAGCTGGAGCATAAGGTCATAGATGGTGCCCATTATGCCTTTCGCGCTGCTGTCCGTGGCCCACATCACCTTGAACGGAAGCGCCAAGAGCTCCACCAGGTACGTTGCATTCTTCCACCATTCGTCGTCCATGACGTGGCCACGGAAGGTATCCGCCGTCAGCTTCCGTGCCCCCATCGCCCAGTTGCCGTACTCCTCGCTCAGCACCATCTGAGCCAATGTGGACCGCAGCTTGCACAGCCTTGAGAGGGCGATGTAGTTGGTGCCGAACCTGGTTCCCGCCGGCTTCACAAGCTGCTTCCCCTTTCCTCCCTGCACCGCCCCACTCCTCAGGTAGTTGCGGGTGAACTGGTGGTTGCGGACGTAGCTGATCATGTCGGTCCCCCGATCCACAAGCTCCTTCGCCCACGGGATACGGCCCACGTCCTCCATCAGGAGGTCGAGCACGTGCGTAGCGCACGGCACGTACTCGATGTGCGGCCACTCCGCCATGAGCTCCTTGCAGGCGGCCCCATAGTTGGAGCCCCCGTCCATGCAAAGGGCGACTACGTTTTCAGGCCCCACTTTCTCGATGATGGGGCGGAGGAGGGACGCGATGTAGTCGCCGGTTTTTTACTCCATCTTGCAATTGATAGCCTCGACAAACACCGCTCCCGAATCGTTGATCAGCATGACGTTCGCCTGCGGCCTCCCGTTCCGATCGGTCATCATGTCCGAGGAGACGGTGACGCCATCCCTCTTCCAGCTCGCGACGGCAAAGCTTCAGCCCAGCCCCTCCCACGTAGCGACGGCAAAGCTTCAGCCCAGCCCCTCCCACGTAGCGACGGCGCGGCGCGACATAACCGGGGCCTACGTTGTTAATGGCCCTGACCATGTTGCGCCACAACGGGTTGTCAGCGTGGTGTTCGGGAATGCGACAGCCGACGAAGAACATGCAGACGGAGTCGTCCGCCTCGCCCTTCTTGCATTTCGCCTCGTCGCCAAGGAAGTCGGTGATGCGGCCTTTCTTCGAACCTCCCACGACAGCTTCGAGCGCAGCCTCTTCGGCCCTCCTTTTCTCATCGCGGCCGGTTGCCTTCTTCTCGTAATGCGCGCGCACCGCCGCTCGCACGTCGGACGGAACCTTCGAGCACAGGCGGACGTCGCGCGATTTCTGTCCCTTCCATTTCGCGAGATGCTGAGCGCATCGAAACGCACCACCCTTGAACTCGATGGCGCAATACTTGCAAACGCGGACAGCGCCGACGGTGTTGGGGCGGATCGGAACCTTGAAATGCTTGAAAACGATATGCGTACTATCCTCCTCCTGCCATTGCGCCTCCGAGGTCGAGGCTGACGGGTCAGTAGGCTGAGTGTCGGGAGATGGGACTGGAGTAGCCATAACTCAACAGAGAACAAAAGGGATGCTCGAAAGAACTGGATGAGAATTGTGTTGAGGTGGGGTGATGTACGTGGGGTGAACGTGGCGACTCGGTTTTGCACGTCCCCTGATAGGAAAAATCGCGAGTTTTAAATGTCGGTATACGTGCGTACTGAAAACGCGCGATTTTTTTTTTTTTTTTTTTTTTGTCTGCCTGGCTTTTCGTATCGCGCATTTGTCCCCGTTTCACGTTTTTGCGTTTATACGTGAACGCATAAACGTTAAACGAAAAACAGGCTAAGCGTATTTGTCATCATAGCCATGCACACCCACCCACCTGCTGATGGTGCCGATGGTGTTGCTGCTGCTGCTGTTGCTGCTGATGCTGCTGCTGCTGATGCTGCTGCTGCTGCTGCTGATGGTGCTGCTGATGGTGCTGCTGCTGCTGCTGATGGTGCTGCTGCTGATGGTGATGGTGCTGCTGGTGCGGTGGAGGCATGGCAGAGAGGGAAGCGACATGCGAGGAGGCAGCAGCGGAGGAGAGGGTGGAGATGCCTTCAAAGTCGGTTGACAGGTCCACAGGGCGCTTGGGGTACACCACTGGCCGCTCCATGGGGTGGCCTGAGAAGAAGGAGCTGAGAGAGAGGGGGACAGAGGGGGGAAGGATAAGGGGGCACAGGGTTAGGGGAACAGGGAACTGGCATGCGCTTGGGGTACACCACTGGCCGCTCCATGGGGTGGCCTGAGAAGAACGAGCTGGGGTGGGGTGAAGAAGGGGCGAGAAAGGGAGGGGGGGAAGGGGACGAGGTGAGGTGAGGGAAAAAGTGATGGTGCTGCGGGTAGACCACTGGGCCTGAAAAGAATGAGCTGAGGGGGACGGAAGGATGGAAGGAGGGCGGAAGGGGAGAAGGAGGGTGGGAGCAGGGAGGGATGCACAGGGATTTGGACAGTCAAGGTACAGCATAGCCACAGGACATTCTATGAGGTGAGGAGACAAGGATTGGAGAGTATCGGAGAGGAAAAGATGAGGGGGGAGGGGGGGACCGGGGGTGAGGGGATGAGAAGGGGATGGAGAGGGGAAACGATAGGTGGAACAAGAGACATATGATACAAGCGGGAGTGCCTTGCAAAGAGGAATGAGGAAGTTAGGGACCAAGCGATCAAGGAGAGGGTGGTGTGGGAGAGAGGGGCATCGGGAAGAATGGAGCATGGGGAAGAGAGGAGTGTGGGAGAGTAAGGAGTGTGGAGAACGGAGGATCATGGGTAGAGAGAACTGACTTGCGGCCTGGAAGAGGGTCAATGCGGAAGTACCTGGCATGGGGGGGGAAGTTGGACAGCAGGGGGAAGAGGGTGGGGGAGAGGAGATAAAGGTTGAGGAGGGTGAGAGTGGGGAAGGACGGGCTGGAGAGAAGCGAGGGGCGGGAGAAAGGAAAAGGGAGAAGGGAGAAGAAAGATGGGAGAGCATGTAGACCCCCTTCTGCTCAAGTGCTTTCACTCGAACCAAATTGCACGTGAGCTTACAACAGTTGAATGCACTCACTCGTGCTCGAGTGCCTGCCCTGCTGTTATCCGCTTCTTCGGGTCATAGCTGCACAACACAGGGCATGGCAGGGGGAGATAGAGTCATAGGTGACAGAGAAAGGGCCTTGTTGTTTGTTGGAAGAATGAGGCAATGAGCCAGCGCACCCAGCAAGGCTTGTTGCTTGGGGAGCGAGCCAGCACAGGACAGGGCAAGGGAGGGGAAAGAGGGGCTTATTGGGAGCATTCGTGCGGCGGGGTGGCAATAATGCGTCGAAGCAAGCAAGCGACAAAATGAGAAGCCCGGACAAACTGAACATGCAAGTAAGGTACAGGGGAGGTACCCACTCAAGCATGCGCAGCAACAGGTTGACGGCATGCGAGTTGGGCGACCAGCTGTGCAGAATGCGATAGAGCTCCGGCTGTGGGCTGTGAGGGTGGTGAGGGGCACATGAGAACATGAAAGCACGAGTGCATGGGGGCATGAAGGCATGAAGGCATGAAGGCATGAAGGCATGGACACCAGCTGTGCAGAATGCGGTAGAGCTCCGGCTGTGGGCTGTGAGGGTGGTGAGGGGCACATGAGAACATGAAAGCACGAGTGCATGGGGGCATGAAGGCATGAAGGCATGAAGGCATGAAGGCATGGACACCAGCTGTGCAGAATGCGGTAAAGCTCCGGCTGGGGGCTGTGAGGGTGGTGAAGGGGGAGAAGGGTGTATGGAGAGAGGGGCAATGAAGGAAGGCGAAGGGTAAATAGTAAGAGAGGAAGTAAAGGGAGAGAATGGCAGGGAGGGAGAGGATGGGAGGGGAGGGAGATGACGGAAGGGTAGGGAGGGGATGGAAGGGGGAAGAGGGGAGAGTTCGAAGGTAAGAGCAGTATAGGCCATGGTATGAGGCAGGAAACGTTGCCTGGGCAAAGTGACAGACTCAGAGCAGTTCAGCACCTCAGCACCCATCCATCCCATGCACTCTTGAGGTACTTCAACAGTTTATTGTGCCAGCCAGCCAGAACCCTTGTTCATCATTCCAGTAACAACAAGTCACTTACAGGGATGATGAACAATGGGTCTGGCCAGATTCAATCAATGTAACTCACTACTTGTCGTGAATGAGCTGCCGGTTGGCCTGCCAGTGACTTGTGAGAATTCTCAAACGTGACTCAGATACAGCCAGAGCCGCCCCCAACTCACTACTTCTTGTCTTGAATGAGCTGCCGGTTGGCCTGCCAGTGCAACAAGATGGGTTCTGCACATTCTTGAAAAAAAACTAAAAAGCCACACCAACTCACTACTTCTTGTCTTGAATGAGCTGCCGGTTGGCCTGCCAGTGCGGCAGGTACTGCAGCATTGGCCACTTGTCCACCGTGGGGTGGCCTGATGGGTGTGGGAAGGGGTTGAGAGGGGTGAGAGGAGGTTTCGGAGGGAACTGGGGATTGGGGTGGTGCTGGCAGCCACTGCGACAGTGGTTGAGAGGAGTGAGATGTGGTTCAAATGGAAGGCTGTTTCTGTGACAGGCGGGGAGTGAAGTGCAGCACCCAACTTGCAGGCCAGCAGGCCATCCCACGGGGGACAATGGGCCGGCCTGTGACAAGGGAGAACGTACCGCACCTAGCAGAGCAGCGGCCTGCGCACAGGGGACAAAGGCAAGGCGCCATTCTGCAGTTCCGCAACTTGCAACTACAGAGCGGGGCCTTTGTCCCCTGTGCGCAGGCCGCTGCCCTGCTAGGTGCGGTACGGGGTTGAATTGGCTGTGGTAGGTGGTCAGCCGAATGCTCATGACTTTGCGCACAAACTTGACATCCATGCATCCACCCACGTAGCACCACTTATCGCCCTCCTATCACCGCCTATCACCACCTATCACCCACCTATCACCACCTCACACCCACCTAGCACTCTGAAGATCTTATCCAGCTGGTCCTTCTGCCATTCAAGGGAGGTGTGAGTGAGAGGTGAGGGAAAAGGGTCAAGGGGAAAGGAGCGCGAAGTGTGAAGGAGATAAGCAGTACGAGCCATGAAAAGAGATGACACACCACCGGTCTATTTTTAGGCGCCTTAAAGGGGTGTGAAGAGTGATGGAGATAAGCAGTACGAACCATGGAGAGAGAAGAATACCTTTTAACACCCATGGAGTATAACAACACCAACACCAGCAGAAGCAGTAGGGGGAGGAGGAGGAACGGGAACAGGCGGAGGAGCAGGAGGGGGAGGAAGAAGAAGGGGAGCAGGAGGGTGAGCAAGGGCAGAGGCAAGAGGGGGGGCAGGAACAGGAGGGGGATTAGGAGGGGAGGGGGAACACGAGGGGGAACAGAGGCAGCGCACCTGGAAGGCGGAGGTCTTGTCCTCAAGGCCTTGGAACAAGGGCTTTAGTGTGAGGAGCTCCGCGTGTGCCACTTTTGAGAGTTCTCAGAAGTGACACAGGAAGAGCGCGCACCTGGAAGGCATTAGCGGAGGTCTTGTCCTCGAGGCCCTGGAACAAGGGCTTGAGTGTGAGGAGCTCCGCGAATATGCACCCCACCGCCCACATGTCTGGCAGGAAAGGGTGGCGCGGTGGAGGACGGTACAGACAGGGTAATGAAATGTGGTAGAACGGGGCAGAGAGACGAAGAATCAGGAAAAAGGAGGTGGAAGAGGAAGAGGTTGGTACGCACAACACACGCTTTTGAGGTGCGTTGAATGAAAGGAGGTGGGGAGAAGCGAGACAGGGGAAGAGAAGAAGATACATACCGACAGCGCACGTGTAGTGCCGCGAGCCTAGCAGCAGCTCCGGGGATCGATACCAGATGGTTACCACGACCTGGGCACAGAAGGGAAGTGAGGAGAGCGATTAAAACGCAAACATGTTTCGGCTGACTGGGACAGGCCCCAAGTCAGACCTTCATCAGTGCTAGTGGAAATGAAGAAGAGAGTGGGAACGAAGCATTGAGGCAAACACAACGTTTCGGGAAACCAAAATCGAGGTTGGAGCAACTGTGGCTGAAATCTGGTCAGTCAGTCCCGATCCACCTAGAAAGTCCAAGTGGTCCAGGTCTTCATTCCTCGGGGCGTGTCGTTGAAGTTGCACAATTCGCCAGCTGTAACCTTGGTAACCCTGTAAACCCCCATGCCCCTCAGGAGATCATCCGCTTCCACCGCGAGGCTCCCAGGGTTACAGCTGGTGAATTGTGCAACTTCAACGACACGCCCCGAGGAATGAAGACCTGGACCACTTGGACTTTCAGTCCTCGGGGCGTGTCGTTGAAGTTGCACAATTCGCCAGCTGTAACCCTGGGAGCCTCGCGCGAACAAGTAACTTTCGAACGTTACAACAAGCTTTCCAAGCAACAATAACTCTATCAACATAGAATCCATGTGTAAGTAGACGACCTTTGAGACGTCTCAAAAGCCAGAACATGAAGGTCAACACTCGAGTGGGGATTGGGGAGAGAGGTGAACGATGAGCAACCACTATTTGGGAAGAAAATATGTGAAACGTCAATCAGAGATTTCACCAAAGAGATAAGTCACACCAAATTGACGTATCAATGGGCCATCAGTCACCCAATTGCGCTATATCATACGGCCTTGACTTGAACTCACTCCGCTCAACTCACCCCATTGTCGGAGAGTGGTCGTAGCGGCGACTGGAAGATGCGGGCAAGGCCAAAGTCACCGATCTTGATCACCCCTTGCTCCTCGCCCTCGCCCATCACCTGGAGGGGGTGAGTGCATGTGATTGAATGTGGTTGAATGTGGTTTATTGTGGTTTATTGTGGTTCAATGTGTGTGTGTGCGATCTTGATCACCCCTTGCTCCTCGCCCTTGCCCATCACCTGGAGAGTGGGAGTGGATGTGGTTGAAAGAGAGTGAATATGCGTGTGTATATGTGAGAGTGTATGTGAGTGTGTGTGTGTGAGCGTGAATGTGAGCATGTGTGTGTGAGCGTGCATGTGAGAGTGTGTGTGTGAGTGTGCATGTGTCTGTGTGTGAGCGTGCATGTGAGCGTGTGTGTGTGAGTGTGCTTGTGTCTGCGTGTGTGAGTGTGCATGTGAGCGTGTGTAGTGTGTAAAACAAGTGCATGGAAGGATATTCGAGCAGATAACATGGACTTTGTCAGAAACTGACAGCTTTCTAAAAAATTGCAACTCTCAGACTGGTGCCCAAAAAGCTCCGGATAACCCAAAAACAGCGTGGGCCCCCATGTGCCAGCCGCACTGGTGAGGTCCCTTGTTGACTTTGAGTCGACTCAAAAGTCAACCCAAAAACAGCGTGGGCCCCCATGTGCCAGCCGCACTGGTGAGGTCCCTTGTTGATTTTGAGTCGACTCAAAAGTCAACCCAAAAACAGCGTGGGCCCCCCATGTGCCAGCCACACTGGTGAGGTCCCTTGTTGACTTTTGAGTCGACTCAAAAGTCAACCCAAAAACAGCGTGGGCCCCCCATGTGCCAGCCACACTGGTGAGGTCCCTTGTTGACTTTTGAGTCGACTCAAAAGTCAACCCAAAAACAGCGTGGGCCCCCCATGTGCCAGCCACACTGGTGAGGTCCCTTGTTGACTTTTGAGTCGACTCAAAAGTCAACCCAAAAACAGCGTGGGCCCCCCATGTGCCAGCCACACTGGTGAGGTCCCTTGTTGACTTTTGAGTCGACTCAAAAGTCAACCCAAAAACAGCGTGGGCCCCCCATGTGCCAGCCACACTGGTGAGGTCCCTTGTTGACTTTTGAGTCGACTCAAAAGTCAACCCAAAAACAGCGTGGGCCCCCCATGTGCCAGCCACACTGGTGAGGTCCCTTGTTGACTTTTGAGTCGACTCAAAAGTCAACCCAAAAACAGCGTGGGCCCCCCATGTGCCAGCCACACTGGTGAGGTCCCTTGTTGACTTTTGAGTCGACTCAAAAGTCAACCCAAAAACAGCGTGGGCCCCCCATGTGCCAGCCACACTGGTGAGGTCCCTTGTTGACTTTTGAGTCGACTCAAAAGTCAACCCAAAAACAGCGTGGGCCCCCCATGTGCCAGCCACACTGGTGAGGTCCCTTGTTGACTTTTGAGTCGACTCAAAAGTCAACCCAAAAACAGCGTGGGCCCCCCATGTGCCAGCCACACTGGTGAGGTCCCTTGTTGACTTTTGAGTCGACTCAAAAGTCAACCCAAAAACAGCGTGGGCCCCCCATGTGCCAGCCACACTGGTGAGGTCCCTTGTTGACTTTTGAGTCGACTCAAAAGTCAACCCAAAAACAGCGTGGGCCCCCCATGTGCCAGCCACACTGGTGAGGTCCCTTGTTGACTTTTGAGTCGACTCAAAAGTCAACCCAAAAACAGCGTGGGCCCCCCATGTGCCAGCCACACTGGTGAGGTCCCTTGTTGACTTTTGAGTCGACTCAAAAGTCAACCCAAAAACAGCGTGGGCCCCCCATGTGCCAGCCACACTGGTGAGGTCCCTTGTTGACTTTTGAGTCGACTCAAAAGTCAACCCAAAAACAGCGTGGGCCCCCCATGTGCCAGCCACACTGGTGAGGTCCCTTGTTGACTTTTGAGTCGACTCAAAAGTCAACCCAAAAACAGCGTGGGCCCCCATGTGCCAGCCGCACTGGTGAGGTCCCTTGTTGAATTTTGAGTCGACTCAAAAGTCAACCCAAAAACAGCGTGGGCCCCCCATGTGCCAGCCACACTGGTGAGGTCCCTTGTTGACTTTTGAGTCGACTCAAAAGTCAACCCAAAAACAGCGTGGGCCCCCCATGTGCCAGCCACACTGGTGAGGTCCCTTGTTGACTTTTGAGTCGACTCAAAAGTCAACCCAAAAACAGCGTGGGCCCCCCATGTGCCAGCCACACTGGTGAGGTCCCTTGTTGACTTTTGAGTCGACTCAAAAGTCAACCCAAAAACAGCGTGGGCCCCCCATGTGCCAGCCACACTGGTGAGGTCCCTTGTTGACTTTTGAGTCGACTCAAAAGTCAACCCAAAAACAGCGTGGGCCCCCCATGTGCCAGCCACACTGGTGAGGTCCCTTGTTGACTTTTGAGTCGACTCAAAAGTCAACCCAAAAACAGCGTGGGCCCCCCATGTGCCAGCCACACTGGTGAGGTCCCTTGTTGACTTTTGAGTCGACTCAAAAGTCAACCCAAAAACAGCGTGGGCCCCCCATGTGCCAGCCACACTGGTGAGGTCCCTTGTTGACTTTTGAGTCGACTCAAAAGTCAACCCAAAAACAGCGTGGGCCCCCCATGTGCCAGCCACACTGGTGAGGTCCCTTGTTGACTTTTGAGTCGACTCAAAAGTCAACCCAAAAACAGCGTGGGCCCCCCATGTGCCAGCCACACTGGTGAGGTCCCTTGTTGACTTTTGAGTCGACTCAAAAGTCAACCCAAAAACAGCGTGGGCCCCCATGTGCCAGCCGCACTGGTGAGGTCCCTTGTTGACTTTTGAGTCGACTCAAAAGTCAACCCAAAAACAGCGTGGGCCCCCCATGTGCCAGCCACACTGGTGAGGTCCCTTGTTGACTTTTGAGTCGACTCAAAAGTCAACCCAAAAACAGCGTGGGCCCCCCATGTGCCAGCCACACTGGTGAGGTCCCTTGTTGACTTTTGAGTCGACTCAAAAGTCAACCCAAAAACAGCGTGGGCCCCCCATGTGCCAGCCACACTGGTGAGGTCCCTTGTTGACTTTTGAGTCGACTCAAAAGTCAACCCAAAAACAGCGTGGGCCCCCCATGTGCCAGCCACACTGGTGAGGTCCCTTGTTGACTTTTGAGTCGACTCAAAAGTCAACCCAAAAACAGCGTGGGCCCCCCATGTGCCAGCCACACTGGTGAGGTCCCTTGTTGACTTTTGAGTCGACTCAAAAGTCAACCCAAAAACAGCGTGGGCCCCCATGTGCCAGCCGCACTGGTGAGGTCCCTTGTTGACTTTTGAGTCGACTCAAAAGTCAACCCAAAAACAGCGTGGGCCCCCCATGTGCCAGCCACACTGGTGAGGTCCCTTGTTGACTTTTGAGTCGACTCAAAAGTCAACCCAAAAACAGCGTGGGCCCCCCATGTGCCAGCCACACTGGTGAGGTCCCTTGTTGACTTTTGAGTCGACTCAAAAGTCAACCCAAAAACAGCGTGGGCCCCCCATGTGCCAGCCACACTGGTGAGGTCCCTTGTTGACTTTTGAGTCGACTCAAAAGTCAACCCAAAAACAGCGTGGGCCCCCCATGTGCCAGCCACACTGGTGAGGTCCCTTGTTGACTTTTGAGTCGACTCAAAAGTCAACCCAAAAACAGCGTGGGCCCCCCATGTGCCAGCCACACTGGTGAGGTCCCTTGTTGACTTTTGAGTCGACTCAAAAGTCAACCCAAAAACAGCGTGGGCCCCCCATGTGCCAGCCACACTGGTGAGGTCCCTTGTTGACTTTTGAGTCGACTCAAAAGTCAACCCAAAAACAGCGTGGGCCCCCATGTGCCAGCCGCACTGGTGAGGTCCCTTGTTGACTTTTGAGTCGACTCAAAAGTCAACCCAAAAACAGCGTGGGCCCCCCATGTGCCAGCCACACTGGTGAGGTCCCTTGTTGACTTTTGAGTCGACTCAAAAGTCAACCCAAAAACAGCGTGGGCCCCCCATGTGCCAGCCACACTGGTGAGGTCCCTTGTTGACTTTTGAGTCGACTCAAAAGTCAACCCAAAAACAGCGTGGGCCCCCCATGTGCCAGCCACACTGGTGAGGTCCCTTGTTGACTTTTGAGTCGACTCAAAAGTCAACCCAAAAACAGCGTGGGCCCCCCATGTGCCAGCCACACTGGTGAGGTCCCTTGTTGACTTTTGAGTCGACTCAAAAGTCAACCCAAAAACAGCGTGGGCCCCCCATGTGCCAGCCACACTGGTGAGGTCCCTTGTTGACTTTTGAGTCGACTCAAAAGTCAACCCAAAAACAGCGTGGGCCCCCCATGTGCCAGCCACACTGGTGAGGTCCCTTGTTGACTTTTGAGTCGACTCAAAAGTCAACCCAAAAACAGCGTGGGCCCCCCATGTGCCAGCCACACTGGTGAGGTCCCTTGTTGACTTTTGAGTCGACTCAAAAGTCAACCCAAAAACAGCGTGGGCCCCCATGTGCCAGCCGCACTGGTGAGGTCCCTTGTTGACTTTTGAGTCGACTCAAAAGTCAACCCAAAAACAGCGTGGGCCCCCCATGTGCCAGCCACACTGGTGAGGTCCCTTGTTGACTTTTGAGTCGACTCAAAAGTCAACCCAAAAACAGCGTGGGCCCCCCATGTGCCAGCCACACTGGTGAGGTCCCTTGTTGACTTTTGAGTCGACTCAAAAGTCAACCCAAAAACAGCGTGGGCCCCCCATGTGCCAGCCACACTGGTGAGGTCCCTTGTTGACTTTTGAGTCGACTCAAAAGTCAACCCAAAAACAGCGTGGGCCCCCCATGTGCCAGCCACACTGGTGAGGTCCCTTGTTGACTTTTGAGTCGACTCAAAAGTCAACCCAAAAACAGCGTGGGCCCCCCATGTGCCAGCCACACTGGTGAGGTCCCTTGTTGACTTTTGAGTCGACTCAAAAGTCAACCCAAAAACAGCGTGGGCCCCCATGTGCCAGCCGCACTGGTGAGGTCCCTTGTTGACTTTTGAGTCGACTCAAAAGTCAACCCAAAAACAGCGTGGGCCCCCCATGTGCCAGCCACACTGGTGAGGTCCCTTGTTGACTTTTGAGTCGACTCAAAAGTCAACCCAAAAAC